TTTAGCCCGCGAAAGAAACCATCGCGGGTCCCGTTGTAACCCGTCTAACAGGCTTTTCAACGGGGATTCAACGCGCGTTGAATCTTTCAACGCGGAACCCGCGTTGAATCGATTTTCGGACATACAGTTGAGGATAGTAGGGTTGCACACTACCGTCTTCACCCAAATAGAACGCTCAGTCATTATAGCAGTATCTGTGCAATTTTTAGTCCAAATACAACTATAATGACCGGGCGTTCTATTCGGGTGAAGACGATAGGACTCTTTTAATATTTTTCCAATGGAGCAGAGGAATTTGGGCCTGGTACTGACAATGTTGCTGGTTCAGTATAATTTTCAAAAGGGTCCACTCAGTGATTACCGGTCATGTGGGATCTCATAAGCCAACCTAGGATACAAGCGGGGCTAGCGATTTTGGATAGAAGGGGGCAATAAGGGGTCAACCAGGGGCTGTGCAAATTCCAAAAAAATGAGAGAAGCTAGATGTCAGGCCATCCTTAACGGTAGTTTAGGCAAGGGCTCGGTGTTCACAGGAAAGGTGAGGGGCCAGGGTTAGGTTCTAGTAGACAATAGTCAAATATTCTTGTTTTGGGTAAGGGTCACTGAACCCGGTTTCTAGCAGGTGCTGCTCCCCATCAACAAATGAAGCCATCCAACCACTAAGGCCTTAATTAGGGTGGTTCTCTCACCACCACCGAGATAGTAGCCTTGCACAGGGGTGTTCCCCCTCCCCCCCCCGAAAAAAAAAAAGGTTGAGTTTAAACTTGATTCTCTTCCTTCATGCTTCGTCTGGGTGGCAGCGTATTGACTTCAGTAGTTGTGCTCCAATCCGCCCATTTTTTGTCAGATTCTTGATCAGTTCTGTCTTCAATGACTCTTCATTTAGTTGATCGTACTCAATTTTTTCAAAGAGGGTGAGAGAAACTAGTTCTTTAGCAACGGACATCATGCGCCTGGTACTGGGGCGAAGTGGTTTTCTCCCCTCCCTTAGCAACCTGCACAGTCAATCCTCTGGTTACCAGAGTAATCAATGCTGGCAAGGTTCACAGCTATCTCCTCTGATTCAATCTTTTTTTTTTTTTTTTTTTTTTTTTTTTAAACCAGCGCCATCTATTGGTGGGGAGCATCACCTGCTGGAAACCGGGTCCAGCGTCCCTTGAATACA